GTATACACTCTCAACAGATAATGTCAAACAATGCCGATTAGTTGCTTCAGGATGAATTCAAAACACTCGTGAAAGAGAACGCTTTTGCAGGATGTGCTTCGTTAATAGTTTGGTTATCAGTGAGCATTCCAGTGATCCATCCGTTTCTATGGTATCTGAACTAGCAACAATTGCAATCGCCTGTTCAACCCCGAACGAACTCCCATAACAAAGTCTTGGAGCACAAAGTCGAGATACCATAGTAGCGTGATCAAAGTGTTCAAATTCATTCACACTTCTACTTTCTATACCATTTCACGTTCGAGTCGTTCAATGAAACGAAGATCTGCACTGGGCACAAGCCCTTGAAGTTTACGTTTAGTGCCGCCCATATTCAGCCAGACCACGTATTGTTGTGCGATCAGTTCCAACTTTAATTTCAGTGTACAGTTTTTTTAACGACATTCCAATTTCTTATTTGATTTCTCTTCGATGTGTTACCTTCACGACGTCTTCGGGATCGATATCGTATTGATTTCAAGCAGTAGTTTGGGGGGTAAAATCAAAGTTTGAAAATAATGACAACACAACTCAATAAGAAATACAGAGGAGTAATAGAAGAACGCAACAAAAGCGAAGAAGCATGAAAACCCAATTGTTGTAAAGATCCAATTATTTGATTGTAAGCTAAAGCATTATTAAAAAGCGTGCTGGAAGTAAAGCAAAATCATGGTATTTAACAAATGTCAGCATTAATATTAATCACTTTTGGGAAATTATTATAGAAACACAGGTGAAATACTTTCTGTATGAAGTGCTGCTAACTGCTAAAAAAACGGCTATATTACAAAGGGTAATAGAACATGAACGGAAATATACTGAAGCCAAAATCATTCAGCAAACATAAAACAGTTATTCGATCTGAAATGATTACAATGAGGATTCGAACATGTGATTGGGGAATCTAAGAAACAGAAAATTTAAGCATGGAATCAGACGAAGAATACCGTAGTACACAGTCAAACTCTGATACAGTATAAAATCTGGGAAAATAGTGCGAAAAATTTACCGTAGTAAGTTTTTCGAGAGCCAGGAATCTCTCCTCTTGAGCGGATGCAGATTTTTCGAACGCTTCGTGCTTCTTGATCAGTTTTATTGTCTCTTCAAGATTGCGCTGAAAATCATCAAATCAGCTCAAACTGAAATTTCTTCACTTACACGACGAGCATGTCTTCGCAAACAACCGTCTCTTTCTACCAACTCTGACTGATTGATGCTCGAGTGAGAAACTCAATCGGAAATACCTATCAAATAACGAATAAATAAAAAGATGACCAATTAATTGTGTGTAAATAAGACTATTGTTAGATGTTGAAAACAGATTGAATAACTAACGCCATATTCACGCGATATCAGATACGGCTCTTGGGCCATTAACCAACTCTCCGCAACGGCAGCGTCTCTCGCGAACTGATACACCTCCAATACTGTAAACAAAACCTTTTTCCAGTTATACATTCATCAGAACATCAAAAAATTATCAATGAACCACAAAATATCGATTAAACAATTGAACTGCCTTAAAGATAATTGTGAAATGAACTCATTGATAAGCAGTTCAGAGAAGTGAAAAACGAACTCAGTTGCAGGTATTCCCATCGATCCTCCCAACGTCGCATCATTTCCGCTCTTTCCGTTGTCAGTTTGATTAATTTCTTCTCGATTTCAGATGATGCATAATGTTTGCGATTCAACAGATCTCGTCCCAACGATATACAAACGTTGAAGTTTTCTTCACGAGCGTCTATTTCAGCTTTTAAACTTTGATGATTGTTCATTAGCAACTCAACACCGGAAACATCCTATAAACAGAACTTCACTTAAATTAACCGAAAAACAGATATGATTCCAGCTCAATTTGAAGGAAACGAAAAAATGCAATTGAACGGAAGAGACAAATGAATGGGAGAACCTTAGGTCTTTCTTGGGTGTTCATTTCTCGTTTCACCTCATCCATCCACAGCAGTAAGTCTCGAACCATATTCATGAATCTGAACAAATCCGACGTATCGCCAAGTTTCTGCGAGCGAGAATCGCACATTGCACGCAGTTGTCGCCATGCTTTCGACACCTCAGCCTCACGTGCACCGATCTCGACGGCTCTATCGCCTGCGTAAGCATCCCGAAGCTCACCGGCGTCCTTCTCGATCTGCGCTACTTGTTGACCGATCGCTTCAATATCCTGAAAGTGCAAAACATCTTTTTCATTTGTCTGGTAACCGTTACTGTGATCTGAAGAAGGCACCGAAAGCAAAAATATCCCTCTCATATTTAGCGGATCTGATGCATTCATTATATCCAATGGAACCCAAAAATCGCACACACCAAAAAATGCGTACGAATGAAGTGCTAAACCAATATGCAATGGGCAGCATAAGTTTATGAGTGGAACTAACTCTCCATGATTTTATCAAGAAATTACCTAAACTGATCGATCAAAGTTGTGTAATGCTAGATGAAATGAGAGATAAAATGAGAATCGCTTGTAACCTTCAAGAAATTTTGATGTTTCCTTTTCAGTGCTCCAACCGACGATGAATCACGTCCAAGATCTTCTGGTATCGCATGATTCTTCTCCAGGATGCGTGACAAGCAATCACGACAATCGTGGAAGAACTTATGCAGAAGACGAGATGCATCTAGCAACTGCATACGAGTATCAATCAACTCCAACAGATTCTCCCAAGCCTCATTCAAGCTATCCTTCCAAAGTGCTATCGTCGGCGCATCCGAATGTCCAACTGAGATCAACTAAAACACAACAATTCATTAATATGACTGCATGTTGTTTAACACATTTATACATTTATAATCTTTGCTGTTGTGATTACGGTTGATGTCGATATTATTATTGATATTTTATAAATNAGTGAAACATGCCTGATCACAAGCATCATTCGCGTTCGCAACACGATCGGATCCGATCGCTTCCGTATCACGAGCGAACTGTTGGAAACGCTCGATGAGCATCTGGACGTGCTCATAGTCTTGACCTGCCTCTTGGGAACCAGCAACAACCTGAAGTAATCACTGATTCAAGTAATCTGTGACTTTCTTCACAGACTGATGGCTCTTATTCGAACAGAATGCAGTGCTATGCAAATTCTAGATAGGAATGCTACGAGAATGCGGTTCACACAAAGTGTTGATGACGAAAGGTAAGAATGATACCTCTTTGTCAGCAATCCACTGCAAAAGGTCATCGATTTCGCGATGCAATTCATAGAGTTGTAATGTTTCATCGAGACGTTTACGTCTTTCACGACACAGATCTTGAAGACCTGCGTACAGTTTTTCGATCTGAGCCTGTCGAACGCTAATCTGGTCACTGAAATTACAACCAACAATTGATCGCTGAATTTCCATGAGGATCGATTCAAAAGGACAGATCGATAGACATCGATTCGATTCATTCGGAAGCAATAAATTGAAATCACTGGATCATCCTGATGAAACATGCTTTAACAGATGATAGCGAATCAAATGAGAAAACGCATTCGATAACAACGTGGAATAGCCACATAGACGTATAACGCAATGGAATACTCGAAAACTCACCTCAACGGACTCTTTTCATCGACGAATTTTTGCGCTTGACTTGCCAGGTTACGGATCGTATCTGCGTACTGATTGATGTCCTGTTGTAAGCGTTCATGCTTCTTGATTTGATTTTGCGTCGAGAACTCATCTTTTCCACGTTCATCCTGCATGAATTATCAAAAAAGTGATTAGTATGAACATAATAAATCATTTGCGGTATGAACAAATCGCGATCGAATCATGCAACGTAGCATTGGTAAACTCGTCAATCACTGAAGTATTTTTAGACGTTAGATATTCCTATTGAGAATACTGGAAAGGAAATATAATTTGAAGTTAAGCAATGATATCATTCAGGATTTTTACAGTCTATAAGGTGACACAATAGCAATGGAGAGTGATTCGCAAACTGTCAAAAATATGATAAGGGCGATCTAAATCTGATACAATGAAGTTGAGAGAACAAACCTGCATCATATAAAGTTCTTGTTCACTCATCCACGCTTCCGCTTCATTACAATCGTAAAGGAACTGATGAGCCTTCTCACTTTCGGCTAGATGCGCCTTACGTGCCTCTACAGCGTCTTTCAAATCCTGAACACACGGTAGAGTTTAGCAGTGCTTCTCAATGCTAACAAAACAATTGTTGCTTTCGTTGAGAACTGCACAAATTTCGGTTCATTTGCACACAACTCATAACAATCAATAGCGAAATGTTTACAATTCAACAAAAAACTCAGTCAAAAGACTTGAAAGTAAACTCAACTTTCGAAGACAATCAATAAATATTTTGGAAACAAATTCAAAATGAACCAACCTTCCAAGTGTTTTGCAGTTCACTGATTTTCAACTCAAACATCGCACTGTTCTCATGACCCAGATCGATTAATTCACGTCCATTAGCACAAATCTTCTCAATCCATGGTTCATGATTATCGATTTCATTCTTCAGCGACTGTGTCTTCTTTTGCAATCGATGACAATCGAATAGACTCTCACCAAGTTGCCGTTGCTGGGCTAATGGCAGTCGTTCTGCAATAAATGAATGCCAAATTAAGTACCAATAATGATCCAATTGTTTCATTTGTATCATATAAAAATTCTTTTCTAAAGATACTCACTAACAATACTTAGTAAATTCCGAAAATCTAATGAATGAATCTTAAAAAATTAGGTATTAGGCATGAATATGATGACCTCTAGGGTCTGAATACAATACCGCAAAGGTATATCTCATCAACAAAACACTCACTCACCAGCACACCATAATTTTTCATCGTCAACATCTCTCAAGAATTGGTAAGCATTCTTTTTGCGTTCCAGCTGACGACGTCTATCGTCAAGTGGTGCCTGTAGACGTTGTAGTTGTTCTTGCACAGCTAAACGATGCGCCTTAATTGCTTCAACCTCTTCTGGATGCATCTCTTCGAGCTGAGGTTCCATTTGCTGAAAAACTCAATTGTTACAGAATGAAACAATGTAATTTAGAGTACAGAGTAGTTATAGCTGTATTTGAAAGAATGTTAATCGCTTTTGTAATGATCGCTTGTTGTGGTAAAAGAAACAAGAAGAAATGTTGTATCCTTCATATAAGCATGAAGCTATTTACACATCAATTTATTACAACTCAAATGTGGTATAAACACACTCTGATTTCATCTGTCTTTGTTGAACAGAAACGAACAGAGAAATCGAAAAGTTTAAGATGAGAATGTAGTTGTTACCTGAAGTGAATCCATTTGAGCGGCACGTTTCACCATTTCACTTTCGATGAGCTGTTGTTTCTGCATTGCAACGTTGACGGTGGTCAGATCTTGTGCTGTATCCTCACTGACCATTTGTTGTTGCAGTTGTTCGGCCCATTCCTGGAAAGTTACATTCATTCTGAGACAGGTGAAACACATGCTTTATTTACCGGTATGGTAGCGATTCCTAAGAAAGACTCGCACCATTTTAACTTCGGAATGATAAACCAACCTTCATATCGGAAATACTTTGTACATAGAGCTGTTGTCGGTTTGCGTCGAATAGTTTTTGACCCTTCTCTTCAGTTGTTCTCTCCAGCTGTTCCCACTGTGTTGACAAATCCGCAATTTGTGGATCAATCATAGAAACAAACTCGGGTTTCTCTTCAGCCAGTTTTACGGCCGCATGTCTCAGCTGATCAAGACGTTCACGATTCGATTGCAATTCCGATTGGAATGCTTGATGACGAACGAATTTCGACGTTATTGTTTTAGCATCACTGCAAATGATTGACAGTTATAATAGAATCCATCATAAAACATATCTGTATGACTTCGTTTAAAATTGAGAATTAGGAACANATATAAGATGCATGTCTGAGTGATAACTATCGATACTGTTCTTGATATGTCTCTTTGGATGATTCATTTTGAAGTTATTGTAGAGATTCAGATTGATTTTATTCAAATTGAAGAAGTTATTGTAGAAAACATCTTCATTCAGCAAATCAAAAAGTCAAATTCACACTTCCAAGGTAACGATTCAAATTTGCTTTATTCTAACGTACCGATAAGTCTCATCTTGTGCACGAATCATTTTCTCTTCGATCCATTCACGCAATTCCTCACAATCAGATAAGAACTGCTGTAAGGTGAGTGCATCCTTCAGTTTATCGAACATCGCACCCGCACGTTCACGATTCGATTCGCGACGTTCTTCGATGTTACGTGCTTTTTTGTGGATCTTATCGGCTGCATAATGGCCATCGTTACAAAGCTGATCACCGAACAGTACAACCGCCTGCAAACATACAACATGAAATTCATGGTGAATTGGACTCAGAAACGAACTGTATTAGCTTATGATCAGATTATTTATGAATGAATAACACGATTGCAGTCGAGAGGCGTCAACATAGAATTCCGAAGATTTTCCTTTCGAAAGCATGGAGATTTGTCATTGTTTTCAATTTGAAACGATAGAAACCCTAAACTAGAAAAAATAACAAAGCAACTTGATTATTATAATTACAAATGAAAATGCTCTTTGACGATAACACAAATCTAGGAGCGGTTCAACAAGATTACCTTGATCTTCTCGTCATTGGCATCCATAGTGGTCAAGAAATCTTGATGTCTCTTGAGCATATTTTCAGCTTGTTCAAGTGAACTTGGTATGTCCTCTTTGGCTAAGTAATTCTCTTGTTGCGATAGCATCACTTCAGCTTGTTTCGCATCACGAAGGAACATTTGCAGATTGAGACCCTGACTGAGCAGATGCTGTCGATTGTCCCACATTCGCTGCAGCTCTTCCCATCCTTCCTCGAGACCAGCCAGACGTTGTCTCAAGAACATATACTGTGGATCGGTTTGATCTTGTGTGACACGATCACCCATTGCACGCATCTTCACATAGTCTTCCGCGTACCCGTCGATCTCTTCACGTATCGCGGCATGTTGATTCAGCAGCTGTTCAGCGTCCGCCAACGATTGCGGTTCATCTTCAGACGCGACCTGTCGTTGAGTGGCCGTGAGCCACGCTTGGAAGTGATCAAGGTCGCGCAAGAATCTCTGTAAGTCGCCAGCCTCATCGAGTTTCGCCTCATGTTCGCGAACCCTACGATTCAGAATATCCCACACATTCTGAATGCGTCGAATGTCTTCCTGAATCTTCGCAGCCTCGGCCGGTTTCTCTTTCTCGATTGCGGCCGCTTCCGTCTGAAGTGAGTCAAGCTTGGCCTGTATGGCACCCAAATCACGTTCCATCATACTCAAACGTCTCTGCAGTTTCATAACACCCGTCAAATCGTTCGTCAACTCATCGGCATCTTCCAGCACACGGGTCTTATCCTCAATCCACGAGATCGTCTCTTGACAATCGATTCGGAATGTCTCTAAACGGTGCGCACGATCCAATTCATCTCGTTTCTGATCGACCATATCGTGTAATTGTGCCCATCTGGAATGAAATCATTTTCAAGTGGCCACTTCCGGAACAACAAAATATATTATAATTATGCGACAATANGAGTGCGTTTTGATATAAAGTTGAGGCATACAATAGTAATAGGGCTTATGAAGATTTATCCCGCGGAAGTATATTTTCGTCCAAACTACTGCTGTCTACAAAAATCAGCAAGTTTCATATAGTTTACAATAGCATCACGCTCTGATGCAGAAACCGTGACGGTACTTTCATATTGCAATTGTAAGTAAATGGTTCGTTGCTGTCTGATGTGCAAGTGATGTGACTGAATAAAAATATGCTAATAACCTTGCGTTAAGTTTATTTTGTCGTTGCAGAATTTCATCTGAATTTGGATGATCAACATGTAACAATTGACGAGCTAATTCGTTGACAGTGGCCAGTTTGGCCGCTTGATTGTTCATATCACTTTCGAGTGTATCGAAACGATGTTTCATTATCTCGACCTCTTCCAAATCGTGTCCCGGCATAAGTGTGGACAACAATTTACCCTTAAACACAAACAATTAGATTCACAACGAAATCGCCTGCTCAGGAATTTGAAACAAGACCGAACAATGCAACGACTGGGTGAATGACACAAAAAATAACAACCTTTTCATCAATCCACGCTTCAATACTGTCAGCGTCACTGAACAGTTTATAGAGCGATAACGCATCCAGGAGTCTTTGTTTCCTGAGACGTGCCAATTCTTCAAGCTCGGCTCGACGCTTCTCGGTCGTGTCGAGTCTTGCCAATACATCCGGATGTTCACGCGCTTCTGCTGGTAAAGATTCGGCCTGAAGTCACGTCAATTATCCATTACTCTTAGAAATGTACTGCGATAAGAACAGCCACTGAATATTATTGATTCACATAACTTATAATTTAACTTTTCGCCATCCAAGAGAGTCATATACAAAGACAGTACCTGCATGTGAAGTTGCTTCACATTCTCCTCGAACTTCAGCAGATCGTCGCTGACATCATCGTGCTTTCTGATAAGAAGTTGCACGGTACCTTCATCTTTGCCAACGTCTTCACTTCCAACCAAACGTAACGTATCAACCAAGTACGCGTCCACATCATCCGCATCGTTGAAGAACTCAAATGCAATTAACAATCACAATTAGAATGAAACAATTGCCACAAGATCATTGAATCGCAAAACTTGAATCACAAAACGCCATAGCAAACTGATAATTTGGAATAATTGCATGAAAGGCATTCAATAATAACGATATGTTTTGAGGTGATCGATCAGTTCGTTACCTGATAATAATTAACTCCACCAGCAAGTCGCGTATGGCGATCGGCGGCCAATTCTTTCAGCTTATTGTAATAATCGCGAACAGTGGCTAAACGATCCGCTATTGTTTCAGAACCTATAACAAATAATCAGTGCATTATTTTTGAGCTTACGATACATGAATTCAGGGGCATCCGTTCAAGTACACAAAATCTTATGATAGAGTGAGATATATCCGCGAGGATCTAACTGAAACGAACCAGGGATATTCTCCTCTCTCAATCCATTGCCTTGTTCATCAAGACCATCCAGCTGACGTCCCAACATATCGAGTGATTGTTCAGCGTTCTTGTGTTTTGCGAGTAGCAACGATACAGAGACCATATCGCGACCAGTATCTGGTGTTGTTAATACCTGAAAAAACATAGATCAAACATTGTACAACAATCATGTGGCTCCGTGCAAATCGCACTGCGAATAACATCTATTTACACTTGAAATGATGGCCATAATGTACAACATATTGTACTTTAGAAAGAACTGATGTAGGTGAATCTCGGAAAGTCGGTGAGAATCGATTGAGTTGCAAAAACATTTGAGATGAACACTTTCGAACCTGTTCGCTTTCTTTGAGATTTTGCTCCAATTCGGCCACATCCCACCAGAACTGACACAGACGACGATTGTTTTCAAGACGTCGTTTGCGGTCCTCGGACAACTCTTGCAGTTCAGCGTAACGATCCACAAGAATCCGCATTCGTTCTTCTACCAACGATGGTTC